AGCATATCCGCCACCGTGGCAATGGCAGACTATAGACTGCGATGTGTCTTTCCTAGAAGTTACAAAACATGCACCTGTTGCCCATATCCGAACATACTTTTTGGAACTTCAACACAAATACACATGTCCTGAGTTCTTCACAGATGCCTCCAAGACTAACTCCTCTGTGTCCTACGCTGCTGTAGGCCCATCCTTTTCGGATGCCGGTCCACTACATCCACGCACAAGTATCTTCACAGCGGAAGCGTACGCGATACTTGTGGCAGCTAAACACATCAAACAATTACAAATACAAAAAGCAGTAATTTATACTGACTCCCTAAGTGTGGTAACGGCTCTGCACAGTCTTAAAAAACAAAAAAACCCAGTCCTTGTCTCACTTTACTCTATTTTATGCACACTTTACACACTCGAACAACATGTTGTAGTGTGCTGGGTGCCAGGGCACCGTGAGATTCAAGGCAACGTGAGGGCGGATCAGCTCGCTGTATCCGTGCACAAAAGCACTGCCCCTACACCCATATCAATCCCGGCCCTCGATCTTAAACCTTCCCTCAAACGAAACCTCAGAGTATACTGGCAGAGCAAGTGGGATACACACACACAAAACAAACTACACGTTATTAAGCCACACCTTGGTCATTGGCCGCCCGTATCGAAATCGCGTTATACAGAGGTGATACTAACGAGACTCAGGATAGGACACACATACACGACACACACACACCTTTTGTCCGGTGGCGAGCCACCATTGTGTGACAGATGTGGTGAAGCATTGACAGTCCTTCACATTTTAATTGAGTGCAAACAATTGGACACTGTAAGAAAACAACACTTTCCATTACCCTACCGACAACATATACCTTTACACCCTGCAATGTTTGTCGGTAGGGAACCGCTTTTTAGTTATAAATCATTGTTAGCGTTTTTAAAAGAAATTCATAGCTTTCATGTCATATACCCGGGCATACCGTAGCATGACCTCTCCAGAGAGGTTTTTGCTGCGGTGGCTACACAAGAAAGCACATGCCTCACGGCCCTTGGACGCAAGGGTATGAACGAGTGAGGCACTTGTGCTAATGCCATACATATGCACCATCGTCTTTTATTATCACCAACTTTTGTCATCTATTCACATCACACACACCTTTCACCGCATGGTCATGATTTTATTACTTGTATGTTTTTACCCGCCTTACTGCGAGGAATTTTATGGCCCTTATACAGCCGCTTATCACAATCATTGTCCATAATTTTAGTAAGATGAACTGGCGCTCTTTGGCCGTGAAATGGCCCTTGCGCCATAAAACATCAAACATCATCATGTTCATAAATTTTCATGTCAATTATACGAGTGTATACAGCGCAATTCATTGTATCCGCATGCATTTTGTGTCTGTTTTTGAGTTTTTTCATTGATATCGTTTAGTTGTGAATTTTTACGAGAGTGACCTCTAAGTCTTAAAATGTGTTATGTAAACTTCTTATGCTATTTATGTTTGAATTTTGTGTGTACAATTGCAGGTTGCTTGAAACCAATGTATTGAATATATATATTGTTTGTCAGTGCTTATGTCTAAGCTTTGCACTGTCACGGACTGCGGAGGGACAAGGGCCTTTGTCAGGCTGTTTGCCTTTAGCCCTTTGCCTCTGCAGTGAGCTCTGTATCCGGCTTACTGTAAATAAAAGTACTACTACTACTACTATTACTGGTTGGGTGTCATTTGGGTTACTGCTAGTTCTTATAGTATTAAAGTCGTGGTTGTCCCAGCTACTGTACAGATCTCTGTAAAACTCCTCCGCTATTTTAACTATCCTATCCATATTGGTAGTTATTTTGCCTTTTTTGTCCCTTAGTGCATACATCCGATTTTTGCCTATCCCAAGTTTCCTCTTCACTGCTTTGACGCTTCCTCCGTTTTTCAGAAAGTGTTGTATTCTTTCCATGTTATACCTTCTTACATTGGATACCTTACGCCTATTAATCAACTTCGAAAGCTCTGCCAGTTATATTTTGTCTGTTGTACTTGAGACTTTCATGATTTGATGCTTCTTAATGAGATTCTTCGTTTTCTGGGAAAGCTTGCCAGTGTCCTGTCTAACTACCCTGCCTCTAACTTCCACTGCACACTCCGTAATGATACTCATCAGATTATCATTCATTGTATCTATATCATCAGATTATCATTCATTGTATCTATGCTAAGGTTGGTTTCCCCACTAAGAGCCGAGTACCTGTTCTGAAGCGAGACTCTGAATTCCTGTACTTTTCCTCTCAGTGCTAGCTCATTGATTGGCTTCTTGCGTATCAGTTTCTGTCGTTCCTTCTTCAAGTCTAGGCGAATTCGAGACTGTACCATTCTATGGTCACTGCATCGTACCTTGCCAACCATTTCCAGATCCTGCACGATGCCTGGGTGTGCACTCATTATAAAGTCTATTTCATTCTTATTTGCCCCATTAGGGCTCCTCCATGTCCACTTGCGGTTTCCTCGTTTTCGGTAGAATGTATTCAAAATCTGTAAACTATTGCGTTCTGCGAATTCTACTAGTAGCTCTCCTCTGGCGTTTCTAGTAACGCTTCCATAATCTCCTACTGCCTGGTCTCCAGCCTGCTTCTTCCCTATCTTTGCATTAAAGTCTCCCATCAGTATTGTTTACTGTGTTTTTACCTTACTCATAGCCGATTCCATGTCTTCATAGAAGCTTTCAACTGAGACGTCATCATGGCTAGATGTAGACGCGTAAGCCTGTACCACCTTCATCTTGTAGACACACCAATATAATGTGATATAAAGTAGAAATTACTCACTACACCGTGTTACACATTCGGTGGCTACACTAGTGAGCAGAAGGCTCTCAGCAAAACGAAAGTAAACAAAGCAACAAACCATATGTTCTGCTTCCTGCCATCACTCACGTAGTTCGTTAGTCACCCCGGCGAAAGCAGCGTCTCAAACACCCACTCAGACACTACCGTAAATATAAACTGCAATTAATAGACGCACACACAAAATAAACTCGGCACGTTGAAACGTTCAGCAGCAGACGGAACGCCATCAGCTGCGGCCTGGGCGCAACTGTTGCCAGACTTGAAGCGGGGGTTTCGCTAACTCTATTGGCTCAAGGCTTAGGGAAACCATGCTGCCACTCTAAATGCATGTATTTTGCTGTAATGTCAATTTATAAAAAAGAATAATTAAGAAAAGCATTCATTTATTGTACAGAGATAGGCATTGCTTAACCACAATTACGAATACTCTCGTTATCAGGCGGTTTTCTCGGCTCAAGCAGTTCACTCAAGTGAAGGGAGTATTTCCAAGGCCTTCCTTGGCGAAGGGAGTGTGGAGGAGCGTTCATGAAATGCAGTGGCTCCTTGAGTGGAGGAGCACGCTCCGCCTTGACTTCGTCAAGTCGAGGGGAGCCCTTGAGTGAAGGAGCGTTTGTGAATACGGGTCCTAGTGTCATCGCAAATAAGTGATCAACCACATTCGCGAAAAGCGATTGTGGCGTTTCACTCGCCACCTCTGGAAGGCCAAATACAAGAAGATTATTGCGACGGCTTCTGTCGTCTAGGTCAGCGAGTTTCATTTCCAAGTTACGAATGCTTTTTTCAAGTCCCGTGATTTTGGCACCAAATTCTTTTAGCGTTGACTTAGACGCCTCAACCTTTTGTAACTTAGATTCAATTACGTCCAGCCTATCTTGCATGAGCTTTTGGCCCTCCAGAAGTTGCTGAAGCAGATCATTGGTGTTGGGTCCCAGATTTAGTTCCACATCCCCACAAAGCATAAGCAAAGAGAAAAGAACGCCCTTTGCATACGAACAAAACATACAGACACTGTAAGGGCACGTCAGCTGGAGCAGACATCGGTCACTAGACCTAATAGATGCGTGTTTGTTACTAACCTGCATAAAAAGCAGAAAAGGATTCATGGTGATGTTGACTGGCGGCCAGCCGACGTGCCCACTGAAAGAATTCTAGCAGAGTCGTCTTCTTATGAAGGGAGCCGACGATGTCGCAGGGGGCGGTGGTATCCAGTCAGATGACTGAAGCTTGTGCTCGAATGCTTGTGCGCACCCTCCGGAGTGATGCGCAGGAAAGACGGAACACACGGAATCACCGCCTGCACTGATCGTCACAGCCGTTCCAAGAAAAAAAGTCTGCATAAAAAGCAGAAAAGGATTCATTGTGATGTTGACTGGCAGCCAACCGACGTGCCCACTGAACTGCCCACCATATAACGAAATCCTCTTTATAACACTCTTTATAACAAATTTTTTGGGAAATTTGTCAGTTTCGTTATATCCAGGTTTAACGGTACTACTCTTTTTGGATGTAAAATGGCGGCTCCCTTTATGTGACGTGTCATTCATTTTTAAGACCTTAAATGTCTGTGTTGGAGCTCTCCTCAGTGACCTTGATACAAGATGGGCCATGACGAAAATTCTTATGGATACAAAAAAAACCTGGGTTTTGATTCTGAATCCAACCCAGTTATACTCGGTGGCATTCATGTATTCTAACAAAGCCAGACCGCCGCTTGAAACTGCTTCATAAAAGGCTGTACACTCATTATGACGATGGACGCAAAGATAAATAAAATTTGTGTTTAAACCAGAATCAAACAGGAATTTTTTGTGGAGGCCGAGCATTTCACAGCGAAGCCACACCCGCTTTTGAAACTGCTTCAAAACAAAAGACCCTATCATGTAGGGCAACGTTGCCGGGCATAACGTTGCATGGCGGAAGTTCTGTCTGCAGAGTCCGGGAAACACTGAAAGTGTGCACACCATGACAGCATTGCATAAGGCATTGAATGCCACACATATGTGTTCCTGCTCATTCGCCTCGCATAAATGCCTTCTAGTGTTTGAGTTGATCTTTCCTCCTTTTTGGTGCACTTCAGAGTGGCCAGAGCTTTGCATAGGCAGGCTATCATTCAGAGTGAAGCATAGGACTGGCTTTCCTGATGGACATTGTTTTCTTTACTATGCAGGCACTGCAGAAGGATGAAGACCTGCCCAAAGGATGTGAACTGAATGATGACCATTTCATGCACTGGTGCCTCATGTTTAAAAAGCAAGGTAGGTACTTTATTTGGTCGCAAGCTGATACAAATAGCATAAATGCACTATGCATGACTAGTTGATGCATGCTTGTAAGGGGATAGGGTTTGCAAAATATTTTAAAAAATTGTTTTATTCTTTTTGTGTTACTTGGGATCTGCAGCCTTTCCTGAACCAAAATCAGTCATTTGTTTGTCTTAGTAGGATTTTTTCTCTCGAAAAATGCAAAACATGTGAGATGGCCTGTCGTGCTGCCATTCTTACATAGCAAAGAATTTCTTGCAGTTCAAGCATCATAGCCATATAGAGTTGGCCAGTTGGAGCACATTTGGCACATTCAGAAGAAAATTGGCTTAGAACTGCGAAAACGAAAGAAAGCAGAGGCATCAAGTTTTCTGTCGGGAAATTTATATCTGGTCCGGGATGTCTTAGGGGTGTTATTATTGGCAAGCACCACAACTATTAACGTTGGTCCATTAAAAGAAGTAGAGCCAGCTTGGAGGACATGTGAAAAGCTGTCCAGGCCACATATTTTCACATGGCATCAAAGGATGCCAATCAATCTCACAGCTTTTGCTCGAAGAACACCGAAACTTGGTGTAAATTCAACAAAGCCCAGTTGAATGGTAAGCCATTTGTTCATAAAGAACACCTTCCAGCATCTGTTATGTAGGCTGTTAAGTCAAATCATCTGGAACTAGCTCACTCAGATGTATTTTCTAAATTCCTCCATGGGAAAACTCAAAACCATGATGATTTGTTGGACTGGTGTGTGGGAGCGCACTCTAAAAAAACATTTTCTTCAGGCACCAAGCACTCTAAATATGCGCTCCTGATGCTGTGTTCACTTTTGATGATGGCAATATAGCCCATGTGTATGTGCTGAACTATATTGGAAATTCGCCCAGGGCACTGCACAGTGCAGGGCCTACGCACCCTTGAACTGCATTGACAGTACTGTGGACCTGGCTGCATAGCATGCGAGAAATCACTCTCGTCAAGCAAGACGTTTCAACACAAAAAGAAAATATATAGGCGACGAGTATATGGCTAGTGCCTATTGAGCGGGTCTATCAATTCGCTGTTACCTCGTTATTTCGAAAGAATGCACATTTTCAACTTTAAATGCGATTATCTCAAAATATGCTTTTTTTGTATATATGTTTCTTTTTCTCAGCAACTACAGTATCTAGAATCATAGATTTTGGTTAGTATTTAGATAACGTAATAGGGAATAGGCTGAAGCAAAATTAGTGTAATGTGAGGAAGTGCTCTTCTGCAACACGACATCAAATTGCTATTATCGAGTGATAAGTGGGTACCTGAACTAAAAAAAAATTTACAAAAATTGATCATTCCCCGCAGGGGCGCCTGCGCAAGTAGGCGTTTGGTGTGTAGCGACACCACGGACCCGAGCTAACGGGGGAGTTTCTACTCCCTCCCACGCCTAGCCGTGCGTGGCTTTGCCGTGCCCGGGGAAAAGGGGATCCTGGGGGTTGAGCTGACGCTGGGTGATTGGACCTTTAAGGCCCCCCGGCAGAGGCAACACACCCCTTTGGCCCCGGCTTCACGTAGACGGCACCCCTGGGCTGACTCACCCAGGGGAAATCGGCAGTCGCCTTTTCCTATCTCTCTCTTCCTACATCTTAGTCTTTTCTCATCTTTAAATCGGTCCTGTCGTCTTCTCTCTTCCCTTTACTTCCGATTTTTCCTGGCGGCAAGGGTTAACCTTGTGTAATTACTCAACCTTGAGTAGTTATATTTGGTTATAGTGGCAATGTACGGCTGGCGTCTGCAGCCTTATGCTATTAAGTGCTTCAGCGTCCCCTGGTTGGACTCCATGGTGGGTGGTCGCCATTGCTGCCGAAAAAAAGTACACTACTATGGGAACACCTGCATTTCCCCATCGCCTAAATCGTCTTCCGCTTAAGAGGTGACGCACCGATGAAATAATAATTTTCAACCAACCCAGACACTGTTTTCCGAAATTTCATGTAGTGCACAGCGAAAAGCCAACAAAACAAGCCAGAGCCATATCTCCATTTCTCGTTGCTAAATCTCTGACTGAGCTCTTTGGCCCAGGATACAAGGTTACAAAGATGGCTAGCGGAGACCTTCTCCTTGAGCTGCCAGAAAAACACCACTATGAAAAACTTGGCGGTCTCAAAGCATTTGGTAATATCCCAGTATCTGTTTCGCCTCATAGATCAATGAACACCTCACGCGGAGTTGTTTCAGAAGCAGACCTTCTTGAAATGTCTGAACAGGAACTGCTTGAAGGGTGGAAAGAGCAAAATGTCACGGATGTGAAACGAATCGTCATCAGACGTGACAACAAAGAAATACCTACCAAACATATAATACTCACTTTTGCATCGAGCACACTGCCTTCATCTATAGACACAGGCTACATCAAACTCTCTGTCCGTCCCTACATTCCAAATCCAAGACGATGTTATAAATGTCAACGATTTGGTCATGGCTCGCAGAACTGCCGGGGTCAGGAAACTTGTGCAAGATGTGGTAGCCACGGCCACCCATCTGATAACTGTGTTACTACGCCTCACTGCGTGAATTGTGACGGGGAACACGCTGCGTATTCGTGTTCGTATCCTAACTGGAAGAAAGAAAAAGAAATAATCACTCTTAAAGTCAAAGAAAACATCACATTCAAGGAAGCAAGACGAAGAGTGTCGCCATTTTACGGCGCAACATATGCTGATGCGGCGCGTCAGGGGGCAACGCCGCACCAGCCCTCGCCACCCCTTCGGCCCGCGCAGAGCGAGCCGTCGGCTGTGGCACCTGCCCCCAAGGCGGCTGTAGCCCAGGCTACACCGCCTACTCCCAAACAGAGACTGGAGACTCTAGAGTCTTCGGGTCTCAAGGCCTCCCCTCACCAGGCGAGGCCCAAAATCTGAACTAACAGCCCGCACGTACGGGCATCCAGTGCCTCCGAGGAGGCAATGGATACGTCGGCACCCTTGGTGCCGAAAGAGCGGCGTGGCTCCTTGGAGCGCGCCAAGAAAACAAAAAAGCAAATAACAGGGCCTGGTGATGGCCCTGTTAAGTGAACTCAAACTCCCCGTCTAAACAGCCACTCGCTTTTCGTACACACAGCATTATTTTACATTCACCATGAACACTCAAATTATGCAATGGAACGTCAGGGGCCTTCTCAGAAACCTTGACGACATCCAAGAACTCTTACTCAAACACTCACCAAAAGTGCTGTGTGTACAAGAAACACACCTTAATTCAAAACACACAAATTTTCTTCGTAAATACGTTATTTTTCGAAAGGACCGTGATGATGCCATGACATCATCCGGAGGTGTTGCCATCATAGTGAATCAAGGAATTGCATGCACACACTTACGACTCCAAACGTCCCTTGAGGCAGTGGCTGTTCGAGCGGTTCTTTTTGATAAACTGATCACAATCTGCTCTATTTACATTCCTCCTAGCTATCAGCTGCAAAAACGTGATTTATACTCTTTAATTGATCAACTACCGGAGCCCTATGTTCTCCTTGGAGACTTCAATGCGCATAGCAGGCTATGGGGTGATTCTCGGTATGACGCGCGAGGTCGACTGATCGAACAGTTCCTTCTCTCGTCAAGCGCGTGTCTGCTGAATCGAAAAGAACCAACCTATTATAACCTCGCTAATAACACCTACTCCTCCATAGACCTCAGCATAGTATCTCCATCTCTTGTGCCTCTACTCCAGTGGAAAGTTGTCAGTAATCTGTACGGAAGTGACCACTTCCCCGTAGTTTTAAGCACAACGACAGTAACTGAGTGTCCACCACGTGTTCCCAAGTGGCTCATAAACAGAGCCGACTGGGAACAGTTTCATACTATCGCTTGTCTAGGTTGGAATGACATCTGTACTTTGAACATTGATGTTGCTGTGAAATACTTCACAGCGTTTTTGATTGATGCTGCAACAAAATGCATCCCACAAACAAATGGACACCCTGGAAAACGATGTGTGCCATGGTGGAACTCTGAATGCCGAAACGCGCGCAAACAGCAAAACAGAGCTTGGAGGCTGCTTCGGAACTCACCGACAGCTGAAAATCTTGAAACCTTCAAGAAAATAAAGTCTCAAGGCAGGAGAACGCGTCGGCAGGCCAGAAGAGAAAGCTGGCAGAAGTTTTTGTCAGGGATCAATTCTTACACACAAGAGGCCAAAGTCTGGAACATGGTCGGTAGGATAGCAGGGAAACAAGTACACACACTTCCACTCGTAAACACTCAAGGTGATACCTTGGAAGATCAGGCAAACTTCCTCGGGGCACATTTTGAACGGGTATCCAGCTCGTCCCACTATACTGACACTTTCCAAAAATACAGAACAAGAATAGAAAAGCAGAAACTCGAACACAAATGCACTAGATACGAGGCATATAATCAAGCATTCAGTCTAGCTGAGCTGCGAATGTCTCTAAACTCCTGCAGTACTTCTGCCCCAGGTTCTGACCGTGTCATATATGAAATGTTAAAAAACCTACCGATAGAAACACGAAAAACCTTACTTTGTTTGTACAATGCTATCTGGTTTTCTGGCACTATCCCTAACTCCTGGAAAGAGGCTATTATAATTCCCATTTTGAAAGAGGGCAAGGACCCTTCTTTACCTTCGAGTTATAGGCCTATTGCACTCACAAGCTGCTTGTGCAAAAAAATTCGAAAAAATGATAAACTGGAGACTTGTACATTTCCTTGAAACAAACAATTTGCTCGACCCATTTCAGTGCGGGTTTCGAGAAAGTAGATCCACCACAGACCACCTTGTTCGTATCGAGGCACAGATCAGGGACGCCTTCGTCCATAAACAATATTTTCTCTCTGTGTTCCTCGATATCGAAAAGGCTTATGATACTACATGGCGTTTCGGAATTCTAAGAGACCTGTCCCACCTTGGCGTGCGCGGAAGAATGTTTCACATAATCGAAAGTTACCTGTCAAACCGGACATTCCGTGTCCGAGTGGGCACGGCTCTTTCCCAAACAT